TGGTAGGGGGAAAACAATGGAGGGGCTAACAATGTTCAAGAGGAAGTGTACTCATTACCTCACTCATGTAACTGTAACCCTCTGTATAGTATCTTTACAAAAAAAAAAAACTGTCAGGATGGCTACACAATTCTGTGGGTATCTCGTTTATTTGCATCATACTTTACATAAGTGAATTATATGGTATACAAATTATTCTCCCAATAAAGCTATTGAATATTGGATATGTCAAATGTTATATCAAAAGTTACATCTCACCTATGTGTTTTGGCAAATTTGCAAATATGTAAATACTTACTATTTATATAAACCATATTATTTTCTTGGCGAATGAATTTAAGAGGCCCAAGATACAAAAATCATGTTTTTTTTAACAATCTAGTTGTAGACTATAAAGTACTAAATGAGATAGCAAGCTATTAGCCATTGACAAAAACAAATATGTATTATCTAGTCAACTTTTCACTATAATTTAGTCTGTACTTAACATAATCACAATGGATACCAGCATGGTAGTTTTTCATAACACTTAAACATTAAAATTTGGGGGACTGGGAAGGTGGCTCGGTGGTAGAATGTTTGCCTAATGCATACAAAGTTCCATTCCTCAGCACCACACATAAACAGAAAAAGCCAGAAGTGGTAGAGTGCTGCCTTGAGCTGAAGAGCTGAGGAACAGCTCCCAGGCCCAGAGTTCAAGCCTCATGACCGCAAAAATAAATTAATTAATTAAATAAAAACAAAATAAAATTTTTGTGGGTGTTTTGGGATCAAAGATGTGATAATAGTTAAATTTTAACCTTACTATATAATACAAGTTGGCCTCAAACTTACAGACTTCCTGCCTCTATCCCAGAGTGCTAGAGTTACAGAAGTGATGTTATCATTGAGACCAGCCAGGAGCTTAAAATTTAAAGCTCTATAAATTCTCTCATAAACTCAAAGCAAGAAAGTAGCAAACTCAAAACTTCATACCTTAATGTCTACCCCCTCCTCCTCTGGCAAACAAACCAAAAAACTTCATGCTCAACACTTCCAAATATAAGGTAGGAATAAAACAACAAAAACTTCCAAAGATGTATGAGCTACTAGTATCTTCATGAGAGGCAGCAGAGGCTCAAAATGGGGCATTTTCCAGCTCTGAGAACCACCACCACCACCAAATAATAAGAGTAACTGAAAAATAATGAACTCTCTTTATAGCATGGCAGGTAAAATTGAGAAAAGAGTGTGAAAGGAATGGGTTTTTCTTTCCACACTAACACGAGTACAAGAATTCACAACTAAGCCTTAAGAGCACAAAGCATTCCAGGTACTAAAACCTCTGATCATCAAAGTCCTTTCAAAGGGAAACTGCTAAGAACAAGATCTGTACTGAAGAGGACAGGGACAAGAGAAAAAAAAAAAAAGATAAACTCAAAATGAAAGTGAGAAGAAAGGCCTGAGAAGTTATGCAGCTGGGCAGCATATTTTTAAACATAACACAAAAAGTGCATTTAGAAAGACTAATAAACCGCTGGGCGCTGGTGGCTCACACCTGTAATCCTAGCTACTCAGGAGGCTGAGATCTGAGGATCGCGGTTCAAAGCCAGCCTGGGCAGGAAAGTCCGTGAAACTCTTATCTCAAATAAACCACCAGAAAACCAGAAATGGCGTTGTAGCTCAAGTGGTAGAGTGCTAGCCTTGAGCTTAAGAGCTGAGGGACAGCGTTCAGGCCCAGAGTTCAGGCCCCACGACCGACAAAAAAATAAATAAAAAAAAAAGACTAACAAACTAATACCACATAAAAATGAGTAAAGGAAAACGACAGAAGTAAAACAAGATATTATTGTAAGGAGGGAAGAAAATCAATATTAAAAATTTTTAAGAGAATCACAGGAGTGCATTGACAGTATACAGACTTGTCAAAAAAGAGATGAACACTATAAACAACTACTTCAAAACAAAATAGCAACGTATGAGTAGCTCATGCCTATAATCCTAGCAACTCATGGGACTGAAGGCTAAAGGATGGTGAGAAAGGTCTACTGGACTCCCTTTCCAAATAATCAGCAAAAAGGCAGACTGGAGATATAGCTCATATGGTAGAGCACCAACCATGAACAAGCAATGCCACACAAGTGTTAGGCCCTTAGTTCAAACTCCAGCGCCAAAAAGGAGGAAGAGGAGGAGGAAGAGGACGAAGAAGAAGAAGAGGAGGAGGAGAAGAAGGAGGCGGAAGAAGAAAACAACTTTGGACATGTGAAAGGACAACATAAATCTAAATTCCAACTATCTCAGAAATTATCCATAATCAGGTGATACAATTCAGGAAAATAATATGAAAAAAAGACCAAACTAAGGCATATGTGATGGTACACACCTGGAATCCTAAGCATATAGAAGGCAGTAGAGAGTTGGACTGTAAATTCAAGGCCAAACTAGGATACATAGTGAGAACGTATAGAAAAAAAAAATTAGGAGAGTTGTAATACTTTAGCAAAAAAGAATGTATTAAAAAGAATACAAGTTATAAAGATGAAAAACGTGTCAAATACTGAAGACAGTTAAACAAAATCCAATATAAGTAGAATAGCTGTCCTAAAGAAGAAAAATGTAAGGAGATAGAAAAAAATGAAACAATAATTGGAAAAAAATTCTGATACACAAACAAGAACATCTGAAACTACATAATCAAAGTGAAAAACCACATACCAAAGAATACTAATAATTAATGCACACTACAAATAAAATGAATACATACTCAAAGTTAACTGGGCATCAAGGCAAAAAAGGTCAAATGACATCAAGAATTTAAAAAGCAGACTGTCTTCAGGCTTTGCTCATCTGTAGTATTTGCACAAAATAATGGAGTGACATGATTTAGATACCCAAGGAAAGAAAATGCCAGCCAAGGTCTTTGTATCCACCAATCTAACTTCAGGCAGTCAGGCTACAGATGAATTGTTTTCAACATTCTAGAACTTAGGAAATAGTTCCCACAAGCCCTCCTTGGAAATCTACTAAACTTCAAGAATCCAAAATTATATATACATTGTTGCTTATACCAAAAGGTAAGGTGTTCCAAATAGATAGTTACAGAAACAAGACTAAAAGAACAAGGAGGGCATATAGTATGTAATGATGCTACATTCTGATCCTATAGACGTAGTTATCCTATGACAAACCCTATAGACATAGACAAGTAATTTTTAAATAGTGGGATAAAAATTATTCGATGACTTCTTAGTTTTATTTTGGCAGCCAAGCCTGGCAGAGCCTGTGAGACTTGGGCCAAGGCAAGTTATTGCCAAAACACAGCTAAGACAGAGCCTATGAGAGCCTGTTATCAATGGGCAAAAGCCAATGATCAAGAAAGCAACTTGTTATGCACAGTGGGAAGGAATAAACAAGTGGGAATCATGATTCTCATTGTCAGAGAACAAGAGTAGGCACAAGGGGAAGGAAAATATTAGAATGAACTCTGTGGTACTGGATTGAAAAAGGAGGTGTGGATGTGTGAGTTACAGATACCTGAGTACGGGAACATTACTATAACAACTGAATGTATGGGTAGACCAACATTGAAACAAATATAATATACATATAAAATACATATACATACATATGTATACATGCTTATGCACAGTTACCTATTCTACCCACTTACAGGGCCAGAAGCAATGACCTTTCTATAGAAATGAGCTTATCTAGTGTCTACATGTTTCTAAATGTCATTGTCCACTAAAAAGAGTCAGGCTGTCTGGGAAAGTAGCTATTCCTAGGACAGATAAATTAAGTCGTAAAATTGGTTTGTGCTAGAAATTAAGGTCAAGGAATGAAGCCATTTCAGGAGATACAATAGCCAGCTTGAAGGAGTGCCCACTGTCTACATCTGAGCATAAAAATGAGTAAGGATAAGAACAGACAGGAATCTGTGAATCCACACCATTAAGACTAACTAAATGTAGAAGGAATGATAAAAACAAAAACAAAAAAACTATCATTTGGAAACTACCAGAAATTAATTCATGAAAGACTCATCTGTGAGTAAATACACGGAGATGGTGAAAGCTAGTTGAGGAACAGGGCATTTACATTGTCAAGGTACATCCTCAGAAAATATCTCATAATTACAATTCAAAAGAGAATCACCTTCATAGTAGGAAATCTTGGCAATCACCAACTTTACTAAGAGATCAGAGTAATCAGACTAATAAGGACCAACTCAAAACTCATGTCTCCTGGTACATTAACACTTCACTCCTTATGGTATTCTTAACAAATAAATGAGAAGTATCAAATAGAAATTGATGGCAATTCTATAAAATAACTGGGTTATTATGCTCATCAAAAATGCCAAAGTCAAGAAAAAAACATGACAAATTCAGAAGAAAACATATCAAAACACAGCATGTACTCTTATATCTGAGAACACCGGCAGAATTTTCAAATGGGTTGCATTTAGGAAAATCCTAATTTTGATGACTGTCCTGTGGTTATGTTCAGGAGTCCTTGTCTTAGAAAACACACATGAATTATTCAGGGATAATGTGGTACATCAGGTCCATAACTACACTTAATTGGTTCGGGGAAAAACTCAAAAAGTAAAGAACAAATTGTAGAATTTCAGTTTGCTTAAGTGAACGGTATATGGGAATATTCTTTGTATACAGTCTGCATTAACACTGACAGTCACACACGGCGTAACAATAGGGACATCTCCTAAGAAAAGTATCGTCAGACCATCTTGCCATTTTGCAGGAACATGAGGGCAGGCAGACAAATTCACATCATGGTGTAGTATAACCTTGAGGGCCCACCACTACATATGCAGTCCATCACTGATACTGTGCTATAGATAATTAAAATGGGAAAGTAGGGAGCATAGATGAGTTAGTACTGACAAGATACCACTTTGAACCTATTTGTGCATGGCAACATAAATCAAATAAGAAATCATGATATATCTGTAATTTCCTATGTCTTCAAGAACTAAGACTAACAATACAGGCCAAACTACTAAGTATAGAAAATTACTATAGCTTCTAAAGAAGAGGGACAGAAATATAAGCTAAGAAAGTTTCAGCAAAAACTCTAAAGGGCTGGGAAGGTAGTTCAGTGGTAGAGTGCTTGCCTTGTATGCATGAGGTCCTGGGTTCGATTCCTCAGCACCACATAAGCAGAAAAAGCTGGAAGTGGCACTGTGGCTCAAGTGGTAGAGTGCTAGCCTTGAGCTGAAGAGCTCAGGGACAGTGCCCAGGCCAAGTTCAGGCCTCAGGACTGACAACAAAACAAAGAAAACTCTGAAGTATTCAATTTGAATTGAAAATAATAGTATAAAATCAGAAGCTATTTATTCTTAAGAGAAAATACACTCATTTCCTAATTTTTATGCAAGGAAAAGTCCTCAAATAATGAATGCTCTAGCAGCCCATCCATGGTGCTGAGATATCCCTTCCATCAACAGAAACCAAGCTTATTAGAGATGAGGTTAACTCTAGTACAAGCAATGGGGCCTGAATCATTTTCTGATACCAAAAAGCAAAGGACCTGTTAAAGACTACTGAATGTGTGATTAAAACATTCAGGAAGGCCTGGGTCAATTGGTAGAGTGCTAGCCAATGAGCAAAACCGTCAGATACCAAGTTCAAGTCTGGATCCTGAACCAAAAAAACAGACTCAGGAACTAGGATAAAGAGCTTCCAGCGACCAAAGACCTAAAAAGTCACAGCTACCTATTTTTAGAGAAAGAAGGGACCCTGCTTCTTTCCTTGAAATCTGATTAAAACAATTCAGCATTTACTGTGATTATCCTATAAACCACAAAACGAGTGGAAGAAATGGCTCTGAATATAAGTTTTTCAACTAACATGAAGAAATCACTTTCTAAAGGTTCTACAGGCAGACATGAGACTGCTTCTATTTAACATGTAAAAGGTGACCAAGAAAATCTTATGTGTGCTATTTGTGCCTTTTCATTCTCAGCATAAATAAGGTCATAAATAAGGTCTCTCGTGTTCTTCTCTACATCATCTATGTTAGCTGCTGAATGCGACTAGGAGATTTTTAGGAATTATGATACTGAAAATTTCCTTACAACTGTAGACACAGAGGCTTTCTGCCAACTAGAGCTGAGTGTGCATGCTCAACTTTGCACTGAACACTCTGATTCTACCAGGTTGAGATCTGAATAAATTCTATTTCTGAGGCTCAAAATCCAGTGTCATCAGGAAAGCTTTCCGTATTAACTACTGAAGAAAATGTCTGAGAAGGTAACTTTGGACTACTCTTACTAAATAACCATGAAAAAAATCATTTAAAAATCACTTTTAAAAATCATTTTAAAAATCACATCATTTTTGTATATTTAATTCATTGCTCTAGCTCCCTAGCTGTCTCATCAGTTTTGTTTTCGGCAGTACTGGGGCTTGAACTCAAGGCCTTGTAATTAACTAGGTAGATGCTCTTAATGCTGAGCCACACCTCCAGAACTAATTTTTGCTGATTTTCCTTGAAATAGGGCCTTCCTTTCTGCCTGGGTGTATGCTTAGGCCTGACTCACCTATATTGATCTTCCCCTTGTAGCTATCATAACAAGTTCATGTCACCCCATCCAATTCCTCATAAGAGGTTGGGGGAGGGGAGGGGGGAATCCTCTCAAACTTTCCTGCCCAGGCTGGTCTCAAATTTCAATCCTCCAAAGCTCAGCCTCCCAAGTTGCTTTGACTCCAAGGCTCAATCCCAGTAGTTTTGCCATAGTAATAAACTATCTAAGTATCTTTGTCATGTAATAATACATGACACTGTTAACAACAAGAAAGATAATCACAACAATCCTGTGAGATTACACATAAGAGAAATGAGGCTGAGACTGGAAGGGTGAATGACAGAATGGAAACACTGTTATATCTACCAGACACTTAATTTTCCTCTAAAATGTGAACTCCATGAAACAAGGGCTTTACTATTTATTCACTGCACCCCAAGAATATTGCCTGGCACAGCTAAACAAATGAATCCCCTTTTATAGATAAAGAAATTAAGGCTCAAGGGAGTAAATGACATACCTTAGGTCATACTATTAATATTTCTTTCTTTAATTTTAACACCTGAATTAGTCTATTAACTAAAATTTGCAAATCATTTGGAATCACTTAACGATGATATGGAATTATTTTGAACGTATAATCTATAATCACTAACTTTTAATGAAATATATTTTTTAAAAGAATAGAATATCTTAAGAGTGAGTGGGCACCTGTAATCACAGCTATGTGGGAAGCAATAGGAAGGTGGATCTGGACTGGGTTCAAGGCTAGTGCTGGATAAAAAAGACAGGACCCAACCAGAAGACACAGGAGAAAACAGGGTGGGGGCATGACTCAACTGGTAGACGCTTTCCTAGCAAGCAGGAGGCCCTGAGTTCAATCTCTAGAACAAAAGAGGAAAAAAATTAGCTCTATCCTTCAAACAAAAAAATAAAATAAAATGTTACAATAACAATGCAAATAAGGCATTAAAACAATGAGACTATATCCCTACCAAAACCTACCTTATTTTCTGACTAATGACATTACTATACCAGAATATTTAGATTTCCTCACTGGTGGTTAATCCACACATATTAATTAACACTTTTAAACCTAAATCAAAACTTTGTAACATTTGAAATTTATACAATTCAAGAAATCCACTGAAACAAGCACACTAAAATGACATACTCAACTAAAATATGGAAAGCATCAATGTCCTACATCTACTTAGAGACTGCTTTTTCCTCAAGGAAAACTGCCACCAATTAAAATTTTTTTTATCGTTAAGACTTCTTTCTTGCCTGACAAGAGTAAAACTTTAAGGGGGCAAAAATCTTGGAACTTAGCTAGAATCTGGTCTCATGCTTTTCTATTCCCTTAATTGTACAAAAAATGGAAATCAAAATGTAGTATGTTCTCTTGCATTAATACAGGAGATCTGAAGGAACACCACCAACTTTGAGTTATAAGAGTTTGGTAATTGTCAAAACTAAGTGGAATTCTGGGATAAAAATTTTAAATCTCATTGTAAAACGGTTCTAATCCCTTCTACACTAAACCTTTTATCAAGATCTTTACAAATGTCCTATCTAGATCTTTTCTCTTTTGAATTCTTAAATCCAGTAAGTGTTTTCTGAGAATATTCTAAGTAAAATATACTCTTCAAAGTACTTGCAAGTTAGCTTTATTTCAGGTCACATCAACTCTATGATGACATCTTCACTTTGTATATAATTAAAGCTTAGAAAAGCAAAGTAACTTACCCTGATTATAAAGATGTTAGAGACAAAATGCATCCGAATTAAGGCTTTTAGACTACCCCACTATAAGACCCTATCACTTTATTTGGTGATTACATGCATCCTTATAGCACATTTGTACCATTAGCTCTTACTCTTACATTGGTGTTTTAATAGCAACAACTGGTGTGAGTTCATATTTCAGTGTCTTACAAAATGGTTCAAGCTGTTTACATGATAGAAATAGGATAGACTATGTAAGTTTGGACCCTTTTAAAAAATCTCAAATTCTCACAATTATTTACTATTAAGTATTAACCCATTTAATCGTCACAGAGCACCAAGGAGATAGTACATTGTCTCCTCTACTAAAGTGAAAAAAGACAAAGACTAAAGAGTTTGTCTAATTTAAGTAAGTATTCTTAGGTGGTTATGAGCCAGGCCTCAAGTTAAGTCATTCTTTATGGAGTGCCTACTTGTTTAATGTTAAAACTGTATCTCTATGACTAGATAACAACTAAATGAAATCATAAATGCATACAGTAGGGGTACCCCAACATGATTTCTTGGATACGACACCAAAAACAGAAAACAAAGAAAGAGGCAAATAAAACTTTAAAACTTTTAATCAGCAAATGACACAATCATCAGCATAGTGAAAAGACAACTTACAGAATGGGAGTAAATAGCACCAAATTATATAAACATCTGATATGTAAGAATTTTTTTTTAAAAACTTCAAAAACTGCCTGATTCCTACAAATGGCCAGAAGGAAGATGAAAAAAAAATTGTTCAACATCACTCATTATCAGAGAAGTACAAATCAAAAGCAAAATGAGATATCACCTCCCATTGAAGTTGCTATCCTGAAAACAAACAAAAGCCAGAAATTGTCAGGGAAGCCGGTTTAAAAGGAGAACCCTTGAGTGCTCTGATGATAGGAATATAAAATGGTGCAGCAGTTGTGGAAAACAGTATGGTGGTTCCTCAAAAGTTAAAATTAGAATCACTACATAATCCAGCAACCCCCTCTTGTGGGTGTATATCCAGAATTCAAAGCAGGATCTTTGCACTCACACTTAGTAGCAAGATTCACATTATTCTAGCCAAGTGTTTTAAGAACCCAAACTGTCCAGTGACAGATGGATAGGAAAATACAATGTGGACACAGCTAGATACATATGCACACATATATAAATATATATAATAAATATGTAGATAACATACAAATGGAATATTACTCAGCATTTAAAATAAAGGAAATCTGTCACATGGTACAAAATGGATGAAGCTAAGTAAATAAGCAGTCACAGAAGTACTGTATAATTGATTCTACTTGCATCAGGTATATAAAATAAACAGAAAACTTGAAAGTATAATTTTGTAATTGTCATGGCTTGGGAAAGGGTGTGGGAGTTAGGTGGTAATTCAGTTGGTAGTTTCAGAGTTAAAAGGTACAGAAGACCTCCCGCACAACAATGTGAACAAGCTTACCACCATTAAATGATATGCCTGAAGTCCAGCTACGATGGTAAAATTTGTTGCCTTTATTACAATTAAAAATATTAGCTTTCTTTTCTTTCACTTCTTTTCCTGTTCCTGGATACAGTGCCTTAGAGCTAATGTAAAGGGATAGAATAATGTAAAGGGACCAAGGGTTTCCACAACGTAAAACAGAGAGGGGGAAGGGAGAGAGAAAGACAGAAGAGAGGGGAGGAGAGGAGAGGAAATATGAGAGAGAGAGAGAGAGAGAAAGGCAACGAAGTGAAACAGGGAGCTCCACATTCTCATTTAACCTCCTTAATCTGGGAATACTTTGAACCTGAAGCAAAACGTTACCCTATTGACAGGGCAATGGTGTAGTGGCTAAAGGCATTTTGGATCTAAAAGCTCAGCCACTCCTCCGGCTTTGCCACTTAATGTGTGACCTTGGGTAAGATATTTTCCTTCCTTCCTTTCTTCATTCATTCATTCATTCATCTAAGTCCTGATCAAACGAATCCTCTACATAAGACTGATCTGAGAAATTAATGAGATAATTCACACAACATGCCAAGAACTCTTGGCACTTTGTGAGTGTTCCAATGCTCACTGTATTACTTTGAAGTCTGGATAGCAGGACAATGAATAAGATGAATTCAACTAATTCCTTATGTCTTAAGAGATGTATTTACCTAATTTGTTGATGATTATGGTGCTAGCAAGTCAGAGAGCATTTGGCAGATCATTAGAAACTCTTGATCGTTCTTGCCAAATGTGTGCTGCTGTCTTTAGAGGGCTCTGCCTCTCCCTCCCAGGGAAAAGCAATGTCATCTCAGGTATTCCAAGATGTTTGCTTTGGGGACAGTGTTCTACAGAATCCGGAGACGGTGAGACCTGAGGCTGGCCCCCGGAGGGCCCGGTCCTCTCCCCTCCGAGGGGCCTGGGCACTCTGGGGGGAGGGGATGGGAACGCGGGGGGGGGGGCACCCAGCCCCCACACGCAAAGCTGCCAGGACCCCACCTGGCAAGTCTCCTCTGGGCCGGCTGGGGGCGAGACGGAGGGGGGCGGCGGCGGGGTGGGGGCGCTGGCGGGGGCCGGGGCCG